CGGCTCACCTCCTGGGGGCGTGATTTAATGATGCACACCGAGCGGCCCAAAGGGGGAGGTGATTAAAGATTTGATTGGGCCGGCCCAGTGTCAATTACTAAAAACATTTAAACAGAGGGCCAATCTACCCGTCTTATGGGCCGGGACTTCAGAAAAAAAAAAAAATGATGTGTCGGCCCAAAAGGCACGTCGGCCCACCGGGAAAATGCCCGGTATGCCAGATGGCCAGTCCAGCCCTGCCGTAAAGTGACGTAGATGTTACTCTCATCTATGGACATCGATCGCCTACTGCTATATTTAACCATATATCGAGCCCGATCGTCGATTTCCAATGATTTAATGTAATTGTTTGCCTGTCTGGCCAATGTAATCGGGCTCTTTGAATATCCAAAAATTAACGGTTTTCTTAAATTTCTCATTTCATTTAATTTCAAACCTTTATTTAACCAGATTGGTCCCATTGAGATCATAGATCTCTTTTTCAAGGGAGATCGGATTGGCAAACATTTCAGAATTTGTATTGACCGCCATTCAAATGACAGCTTTGTTTTCCCCAAAAAGTGGGCGGAGCCGTACTTTTTGCCCAGAAGTGATGCATTTGTTACTCTCGTCTATAAACTGTTATAGAGAGGCGAAGTCCCTCCCTTTCCGGGGGACCTCCATGGGACCTTATTTCGGAAAAAGTATGTATCAAAGTCAATGGTGAGAGAAAGATTATCTTTCGATCCTGTTAGAATTGTGCCACGAATTACACATATGATGTTTGTCAATTTAAAAGATAATTTTGCAAGTCAAAAATATTAAAATGTGTCGTAAAACTGTGAAGTAACACTTTTTTTGTGTGAAACTGCTCAATGAACTACATCTCTGGTCTCGCAGAACAACACACGTCACCAAGATGGTCGTCACTACTGTCTTGCCAAACAAGGGATTGACTACCCTCACTATCACCACAATGAAACACGTCCAGAAGAATGTCATGCAAAGCTGCCTGCCTGCCTGCCTTCCTTCGATTCTCCCTGAACTGCCTGATCTTTTTAATGTTCAATGTTAACCATTTGTGCAGATAGTATGAAGTAATAAAAGATCACCGATGCTAATGTAGCGGATAGCGTTAGCATGTCTCTCTCGGGGGCATCCGGGCTTAAAGGTGTATTATAGAATGATCACACCGGTGTGACAGTACTCTTCAAAGGGTTCACGAAATATGACTACTACTCTACTGTTTAACACTTTGGTTAACTTAATGTTAAGGCTAATAAAAATGACAAGGCTAAGCCGGCTGTAATGCTAACTAACGTGCTTGCTACTAGCTAGGTAGCTAACTTGTTCCAGCCACTCCTGGTCCTTTCACAGGGTTGCCAACTCTCACGCATCTGGCGTGTGACACACGCTTTCACTCTCAACCTCACGCTCTCACGCTGCCCAAACTATTCTCACGCCAAAAACAAGAATACTGAAGATTAGAAACGGTTTTGAAAACTTTTGTCACGTAGTGATCGTCTTCTCAATAGAACATCTTTGATAATGTCTTCTGGCCAATCAGAATCACGATAACGGCGTGGTGTTGTTGCAGGAAGTCCCGACGGAGAATACTTTTGCTGTAGTACATCTCTATACAACATTACGTGTTGATAGAATTCAACACGTAATGAAATAAGACCCCACGGTTTGATGATTGATAGGTGTGTGGGCTGTCTTTCATTTTGACACACAGAACAATGGGGGCTATCCACCCTTATCCACAATGTAAAGTAATTCACACAGCCTCTTCCCTCTTCTCTCTGTGAGGAGCAGCAGGTTCAGCTTTCAGAACAAAGTAACACAAAACTAAAATGGCATTAATTTTTTTAAATATGTCGTGTAGTAATAGATTTATTTATTTTTCTTCTCAAGAGAGTACCAGAATGTGTATTTTATGTTAGTATTTAAAAAACTCCTGGGGGAGAATCCCCCCAGACCCCCCTGCAGGGCTTGGGTTTTCAGCATGTCAACTCTTTCACCTGTGGGGAAATTGCAGGATTGGCTCCAGGTCACCCTTTTTATTTACTACAAGACAAATGTGCCTTTTTATTTCATACATTTCAATTTGGATTGAGACAGGGAAATAATCTAAACCTCACGCGTGGCGTTTCACTGTCGGGGGGAGCGTGTATGTAATTACATTGCAAATACTGACTTGAGCCCCACCACTGTATGGGTTAGCCCTACCATAGATTACCCAACAAAAATACTCTGGAGCCGCAACTGCGGATCCGTATTGCGCATGCGCAGATCTAAGATCCAGTAGAAATGATAAAAAGTAAAAGTCTGCTGCTTATTGTTCTACTAGGCCAAAATAGAGTCAAAGAGTGAGAGTGAGAGTGTGTTAATGAATATATTTGGCAGTTTGGAGTAAGTCTGTAGATTTGTTTGTGTGTGTGTGTTTCATGTATAGGCCTCTCACGATAATTAATTTAGTTGGATACATTTTCCCGGAAATTATTGCGATAAACGATAATATTGTCGGCACCGTTGTATGACCATTTTAGACCACTGACATAATGATAATATATAATAATAATTCAAGTACATCCTTTCAAACTGCTAGTCACATCCTCATGTAAATGGCAATTTATCGAGGTCAGAAAAGTTATCGAGTTCATTTTTATTTATCGTACGATAAGTCAATTAATTGCTTATCGCGACAGGCACACAATAAAACAGTGGAAACAAACATGTTTGACTTTCATTAGTGAATGAAACTGTGTGCCCTTTATAGTCTGTGTCCATTATTGTGTATTTGTATATATTGTATATATATCCTATATGCTAAGGTCCCGCTGCTGACACAATAGCAGTCATTTCGTGCGCATATGTGTAATTAAACCCATGATATCAAAATCTCACTCCAGCCAGGTACCCAAAGTTGGCAACCCTGCCTTTCATCAGACGGGAAGCGAAAGAACGAGCAAGACCCATTGCTGGTATGATAACAACCTGGTACTAAGCACACAGGCATCTTGTTAAAGTTATTTTATCTTAGCTATCGCTTACTTAGTGGAGGAAAACAATTGTGACATCAGTTATGACATCACTTACGCGACTCTGGGATTTGTAGTCTTTCTAGTTGCGTATTTTTCATAGTCTTATATTTCAACAGTTTTACGACAAACTGTGACTTTTTTGACATGGAAATGATTTTTTAAGATTGACAAACATCATATGTGTAATTCCAACCCAGTCTCATGGCATTTCGTGTTATTAGTCATGAAATTAATTTAATCTATTGATTCGTGTTCACCAACACGATTTTCACATTTTTTTCGTGTCACACAGAACGATTTTAAATGCAATGTATTTCTATTGGTAGTATGTTTCGTGCCTGCAACACGTCTTTTTGTCCGGTCGGGTCTTGGAAGACCAGAAGCTGTGTGGTTCATAAAAACATGTTCTTACTCAATATCTTACCCTAAGCCTAACCCTATCCCTTTTATTTTAAATTGTATAATGTCTGAGTTTTTGTGCCGTCAGTGAGGAAAAGAAATGGGGCTCAGAGCCTCAGAATACTGAAATCTGTATTTTATGTCATATTTTTTTCCTTCTAATTTGTTATTATTTGGTGCAGGCACGAAAAAACATACTACCAATATAAATACATTGCTTCTAAAATCGTTCTGTGTCAGAATACTTAAATCTGTATTTTTTTAAATGTCTTTTTCCTTCTAATTTGTTATTATTTACATTGCTTTTAAAATCGTTCTGGCGATCTAAAATGGCGAAATCGTGTTGGTGAACACGAATCAATAGATTAATTTTGTGACTATAACACGAAATGCCGTGAGACTGTGTTGGTAATTCATGGCACAATTCAAACGGGATCGAAAGATACGTTTTCTCTCTCCATTGACTTCAATACATAATTTTTCCGAAATAACTGGAAGTAGATGGGCGTGACTTCGCCTCTCTATAGGGCACATGTGTCAAACTCAAGGTGGATTTAATTTCGGCCCGCAGGATAATTTCTAATAACTATTAGATCTGGCCCGCCGGTATATTGCACGCACACCTTCACTCAATCCTGAGGGTTTCCTCAGCTCAGAGCCTGACCCCAAACATTGATGACCTTGCACCCAAGATGAGATGCCAAGTATCTGGCTTGAACTAGCATCACAGAGCAGCACACTGAGTTTACATGGATGTTTCCTTCTGCACTTTTTCTCTCACGACAACAGGGCATGTTTGTTTTTTTCTTTGAGGGAAATAGTTTTTTTGAAGCTGTTGTTGGCCTGTGGGAAAATGTAATCATAAGAAATGACTCTAGAAAAGCTGCAGATAGAGCCATAAGAAATGAATGCAACTGATTATTTAATGTTTAATGTTGTTTTTATAGGCAACAATTTAAGCTTTGATAGTTCCAGGTTTAATATGTGCAATAAGTTAATTTCAATAAGTTTTGCTATAAACATTGAACCAGTCCGGCCCTCGACTAGTACCCATTTTTTTATTTTGGCCCACTGTGTATTTGAATTTGACACCCCTGCTATAGGGGATTCTGGTATTGGTTCTGAACTGACACAATACTTTACATTTACAGAAACACTTTATTATTTGAGCCTGACAGAATAACATTAGTTGGCCTTAAGAGGACCTATGGCACGCAGAATAAATACTATCTTGTAGAGTCGACTGAATCATAAACAATTAAAATCATGAATAAGATAGTTATTGAGAGTGAAGCTCATTATTATGAGGAAGACCTTGTGATGTGATGGAAAGCTCAGGGAGAAGGCAGTACATTGACCATGAGTTAATAATATCTTTCCAAGTAATAATAGGATTTATAAAATGTTAATATTCTGCTAATGAGAATGTACACCTGCCATCCAAACCTTACATGGCATTCACGACTTTTATTTTGAAAGTCCGCCCAGGAAGCCCCGTCTGTTGTAGTTCTTCGCGCCTGTGTGAATCCTACAGCTCTGTGTTTATAAATCCATCTGAGTGACATCAGCAGGGAGAAGGTTTGGCCAGACTCCCGTCTCACTGCAGGATAAAAGCATGAGGAGCAGCCTGGAGGCTCTGTTCTCCTCCTGCAGGAGCTCCATGCTGCTAGGCCTCTAACTGCCCATCTCCTGCCCGAGGAACAGCGTCGGATCCGGACAAAGGCTGAAGGAAGGGAAGGAGGCTGAGCGGCTCTCCTGCGTTATGTTGGGCAACAGAAAGAAGGCAGCCCCGGGGGGGAGGAACGGAGCCGGGACGTCCGAGGCTAAGGCCATCGACCCGCTGAGGAACCTGGGTGAGTTCCGCTGTAATCTGAATGTGTTCATTCGCTGGGACACAGTTATACCGATATATGGTGAGGGACCTCATCATCTCGGACATCCGACCTACCAATACCGGCCGTTATCTTCACCCCTCACACTGGGATGAGCAGGGAATATTTGAAATAAACTCTAAGATTAAAGCATAATCTTATTATTATTAATAATAATAATGATAATAATAATAATAATAATAATAATAATAATAATAATAATAATAATAATGCATTACAAAATAAAAATCATAATAGGAAACGCTATTTAAATAGCACAAAATAACAGATGATTAGAACATTTAGGATAAACCTTTTAAAAAAAAGAAGACAATCAAAGGAAATAACGTAGAAGGAAAAAAGCTAAATAAGACAAGTCAAAGCCACCTTTAGAGAGAAAGCTATGGTAAGCTTCTGATTTGCAGAAAACTGTTGCAGAGTGAGGTGGAGTAGTGTAGTGTGGTTTTGACCTCAGGAAAAAACAAACGGTCAGAGTTTTGGAGTGTTTGCAAACTGAAACATGACACACATCTCATGGGGCTGCTCTGTGATAAAAAAACTAAAACACATTCAATTGTTTTAAGTGATGCTAAATTATAGTAAAGAGCTGCAAGGGAAGATGTCTTAATTAGTGTTGATTCTTTTCATAATTAATCAACTAATCTTGGATGATAAAATATCAAAAAACTGATCCCATTTTTTTCTGAGCCTAAGGTGATGTCCAAGTGTCCAAAATGATGATAAATAAATGATATAGAGCAGAGAAAAAACTGCGTATTCACATTAGAGAAGCTGAACAGTGAATATTTCATAAAGAAGCAATTCAATAATAAAAGTTGAGCTTGGACTATAGTGTCTGTGGTGAACAATAGCATCTACAGCTATTCTGTATATTGAAGAAGGTCTGTTAATGTTATATCATGTTACAATACATTTTTACAACATGTATTGTAGGATGTAACCCTAACACATGCATTAAACAGGTATGATATAAATAGAAACTTTAAAATCACAAAATTCAAAAAGGGAAGAGTGCCTCTCTAAGTCTGAGGACCCTGGATCATTTCATTTATCTGCAGCAGTGTATGGCTTACTCTTGTGAAAATGTGTTGCAGACTTCTGAGCAACCATGGTACAGGACTGAGAATCATCTCTCAGAAGCTCATGGTGTTGCTCAGGTAACCCTCACAGAGAGACCTGCTGTGTGTGTGTCCAGACGGATTTCAAACTTTTGCGTCCCACATGAGAAAAAGTAAACATTTACCAGCTGATCAAGCAAATGTTCTCCACAACCAGAGGGTATATCTAGAGTCACATGTTTCCAGCTGCTGTGTTCACTGCTCTCCTCCTCATGCTGTGTGGGGCTTGCTCAGTATGTTAGCAGCTGGGATCTTCTCTTATCTACACTGTACTCTTCTGCCTAGTTGAACTGCAATATGTGCAGTTATATACAGTTCTACAAGTTTCGTGCATTTTCCTTTTCATGCATTGTTTCAATCCTGTAATCCAAGGCTGAATATAGTACTCTCAAAACTCATTTCATTTAGTAAGACACTATAGTCCTGGGTGTTTGCAACTGTGATCAAATACTGCCTCAATCTTGTAATCCATGAAGGATGGGTACAGAATCCAATTCTCAAAATAGAAAGGAGAAACACAGCTTTGTAGAGATTCCATTTCCAAAGGCATAAGATGTAAAGTAGTCAATTTATTATATTGAGCTATACTATACTGTGAAAAGAAAGTTCATTGGTGAATTCAATGTTGTTGTAGAATTTTTTGATTGTACTCTTTCCAGAATACTATTGTCCATTTCATTTTAAACTTGTATGTTAAAGGCTACATTTGAAGGCACAAAGAGGGGATGCAACCTGCCCCTAATACTTTAAGTATTTCTACTCCAATACTTAATACTTCAGTACTTTTCACTTCACTACATATTTGTTACATGTGAATTTGCAGATTCTTTAAGGTCACTTTAAAGAGGTCAATCTGTTTCTGCGTGACACAAAAACAAACACACACCCACTGCTGCAGCCCTGCTCACCTCACTTACAGTATCTCTCAGGGGAGTGTTTGTGTGTGTGTGTGTGTGTGTGTGTGTGTGTGTGTGTGTGTGTGTGTGTGTGTGTGTGTGTGTGTGTGTGTGTGTGTGTGTGTGTGTGTGTGTGTGTGTGTGTGTGTGTGTGTGTGTGTGGTGTGTGTGTGTGTGTGTGTGTGTGTGTGTGTGTGTGTGTGTGTGTGTGTGTGTGTGTGTGTGTGTGTGTGTGTGTGTGTGTGTGTGTAATGACCCGGCCCTTCCAAAACCACAGTGAGACTTCTGTTAAGCTACTGCTTACTCAGCACCCGACTGAGCAGTATCTGTGAAGGTGCTTGAAGGCACAGAGTACTTTATAAATTCCTTTTTGCAGCTAAAACGAACCTTCTGTTATTTAGAATATATATGAACAAATCTTATCCCTCAAGGTTCAAGGTTCAAGGTTCTTTATTTTGTCATACGAACACAGCTACATTGTAGTTATGCCAATGAAAATCTTAGGTCACAGGCTTCTCCAACAGTGTAACACAATAACACAGATATACAGAAAAATATAGTGCAAGTAAATAGTAAATACAAAAAGAAAAATAGTTTAAAAAAGTGAAATAGTGCAATAAGAGTCTATATGCAAGTTATTGGAATGATATATTAGAGAAATAGATACATAATTACTAAGTAGCAGATGAATGTTATGGATGTTGTTTCAACAGTTAAGGTGTTTAACAGATGTTGTTTCAGCAGTTCAGATGTTTAGCAGTCTTATTGCCTGTGTTATGAAACTGTCCCTGAGTCTGGTGGTTTTAGTCCTGATGCTGCGGTACCGCCTGCCAGACGGCAGCAGACAGAACAGTTTGTGGTTGGGGTGATGGGGTCTTTTGTAATCCTGAGGGCTTTCTTCCTGAGCCGCTGGGAGTAAAGGTCATCCATGGATGGCAGCTCCGTCCTGGTGATGTGCTGTGCAGTTTTCACCACCCTCTGTAAAGCCTTACGATTGAGGGCGGTGCAGCTGCCGTATCAGGCCGTGATGCAGCCAGTCAGGATCATCTCTATGGTGCACCTGTAGAAGTTGCAGAGTATCCTTCGAGTGCTTCGAGATTTGTCTTGGCAGATGTGAAGCGCTATATAAATTAAATGTATTATTAGTATCCTGGAGTGCATATTGAACCTCCTCAGCCTGCGGAGGAAGAAGAGCCGCTGTCGAGCTTTTTTGGTGATGGTGGTAGTGTGAAGAGTCCATGTCAGGTCCTCAGTGATGTGGACACAGAGGAACCTGAAGCTGCTGACTATATAAAGTACAGATATAAACATTGTTCGGATAAAGCCAAAGGGCCTCACACAGCACATTTTAAGCAACTCCTCTCAGGAAACTAGAGATAAGACAAATTCCTAACATTCTGTTCACTACCACTACTCCATGTGGTGGCATTTATTATAAACCCTAAAGCCTTTATTTTGTTATGCTCAGCCAAGGTTATTGCAAAAAACACCACAAACATGAGAGGATATTTTTTTAACTCTCATCAAAAAAGCTAATACATGGATTTAGCTAAAATGCGAACTATTCCATGAACATAGATGACATTTATGTGTGCAGCTTTACGAGTGTGTTACAAACAATGCATCCTCTATTCTGCTCCAGATAAAAACATTTACTAAAAACTGAAATGTGTTTCGTGTGCTTTTGTCACTCAGTGATTGACCAAAGCTGTTGAAGAGACTTGAAATATATATTTATTATTTATATCTGATTCATACCAATTAACGGGTCAAACTGTGTTTATCACGAGACCTTTAACATCATATAGTATTCACTCCTGCTGAGCTACTCTCTGCAAATCAAATCAAATACAGCCAACGTACTAATATTCCCTGCACTATATTGTGCTGCTAGTGAAGAAATAAGGCAAAATCAGTCAAGTTCTGGATGAGGGTTAACAGATGTTGCCAGGTCAGAGAAGATTTAACAGCAGCTGGATTAAACGGACAAAGAAAACCCGTCTTGATCCTGCTGACGTCTGAGGTATACAAGACATGTTGAAGACAGAGCTCACGATGGAGGAGTTTACCTTTCAGTTGTGTTATCTTCCAATTTCATACAACCCTGCATCTGCACAAAAGGATCTGTTTCTCCACGAAGAAAACTAGACAATATCAATGATCAAGCCTCTGGAAGGTACCACTGTGTCAGGGCTGCACATAACTGGTGCGCAGGTGCGCATGCGCACCCCCCGCCAAAAAGGAAGCACCGGATCATTTTGAAAAAAGCGCGAGAAGGAGAAGCAGAGATAGAAAGAGAGCGAGAGAGAGAGAAGAGAGAGAGAAGAGAGAGAGATGAAGATATAGAGAAGATATATATATCGATTCACTAGGATCTCAGAATCGCTCTCTTATATTATCTCTCTCCGATCCTATCTTCTCTCTCCGCTCCTTCCTTCTCCTACTCTCTCTCTCTCTCTCTCTCTATCTCTCTCTTCTCCTCTCTCTCTCTCTCTCTCTATTCTCTCTTCGCTCTTCTCTCTACTCTCTGCATTAGAGAGAGAGAGAGAGAGATATATATTTGCGAGTTGCATAATAACTGGTAAGATAGCAGGGTTTCCCACACATAGACTTTACTTGGGCGGGCCGCCCAGGTATATTAACGGCCGCCAAAGTATAATTCGCGAGCCATTTAGGTTGAATTTTTTTAATCCGTCCGCGAGCACGACGGCATCTGCGATCCCTGGCTCTACCCCTCGCTATTGCGTGAAGGGTCTGCTTTATGTGCTCCCACACAGCGGCGTGCGTTGAAGCTTGCCGGCGGGCGTGTCTGAAACTCGACCAACAACCAATCACATGAATCTCCCGCCCCTGACACACAAGCAGTGTTTTGATTGGCTAGAGCTTGTACTGGCATATGATTTGATTGGCTGACGCTTCTGCCGAGGCTTCAAAAGTTGAACATTGCTCAACTTTTGCAGCGAGCCACGCCAGCAAAGCTCCGCTTCGCTTCCCACAATGCAGTTCGGCGAAAAGTGACGTCACCCCATTCAAAGTGAATGGTGAAGCTTTCAACGCACGTCGCTGTGTGGACGGGCCGTACCCTGCTGCGAGGCACGGCGAACAGTTTATGAGCATGCTCACTAACGCACCTCCCCCCCCCCTGTTCATAAAGTCAAGTACCCCTCAAAAAGTTCCAGTTTATTTCATTTTAAGGATGCGCATCAAGCAACATCTCCAGGTGCTCCTTTGAGAACCGGGGCAAAAAAGTTATGTGCACCTCTGTTTATAGTGTACGCTTTCCTCCACTCAACGGTATCATCAAATTAATACAGTGCTGTAATAGTAAAAAAAAAAAAAACTGTAAAAACCTTCACAGTCAGTTATGGAAGGTTTGAACCAATAATGTGATTATTAGCCTCAGTTTTACATTTGAGAGGTATTAAATCCATGTTTTTCAACTGCTACCTGAAGCCCCAAATAAGCATTTTTTTTTTTAAAGAAGTAGAAGACATTTCTTAGCAATGCACGTAAAATAGATAAGATACTGTTGTGTCTCCTAAAATCTGTTAAGCTAATGTATTTAGTTCAGTCTTGTATCCTGTTTTATTTTGTAGTAACCTTTCCTTCTTGTTGCAGATCACCTCACTTCCTCCCTTTGTGTGTTTTCCCTCCACTGTGATTGTCGACCCCGCCCTAATTGTCTGCACCTGTGCCCCCTTAGCCTGCCTATATATAGATCCTGTCTCCCTTGTCTTGTTGCCAGTTCGTTTCGTCCCATGTGCCAGACAGCCAGCGTCAAGTCCATGTCTTTCTGCTAAGAGCTAAGAACCGAGTTTGGAATTTATTTTATCCTTTGCATTTGTTGGAACTACTTTGGTAACCTTTTCCTCGTAAGAGTGTTTTTTGTTATCTACCTGTTACTAGTGATGGCAAAATGAAGCTTTGAATGAAGCATCGAACCACTTGGACAATTGTGAAATAGGTTCATTTCTCGAAGCTTCAGTTACAGCGACCTCTCCTGGCGAAGTGCAAGGCTGCAGTGGGTTTAACGTATCTTTGGCTTGAAAAATATTCGATGCACACATACACTAAGACTGAATATCATGTTCTATTTGCAATTAAAGATTGATAATTGTGTGTATTGGGTTATTGAGAAGAGACTAGAGAGTGCTGGACATTTCTTTGGGCGGAGAGGGCCTTTTATCAGTTATTAAAGTATTAAAGTTGAAAAGCAATGATTAAAAGTTCATCCGTTCCGGGCTTTGAACCAGCTGCGCGGAGGACATCGCCGCATTCGGACCGCCGGCTCTATCCACTGGGCTATCTATTCCTTGAACTATTGGACCGTTTTTATATTACTCATAATTGTCTTTTTGTTCACAACTTCTCCACATTTCGAAGTGTTTCCCGAGCCAGAACGACCTATCTTTCTTCCTGGCTTGCTCTATAATGATCCAATTCAAATGCAATAGCAACAACAACTCAACAGCAACAACGCAAACTACGACAACAACCCACACATTGCGCATTGTTTAGAGCGGTTATAAAGTGTTGAAGCGCTCAAATTTGAAACTGTTTCAACCTGTCACCTGTAAGAATAGAGACGAGGCAGTGCATTGAATCGCGTGATTGGACCGCGAACCAGTCAAGTGATTCATTCAGGAAATGAAGCAGTTGCTGCTTCGGACGTCATATGTCACGTGATTTGAAGCAAGCTTCGAATCACTGCTTCTATGGCAGTGGTTCCCTGTAAAAATGTGCATAATTATTTACTAATGCCAAATAAATGTGACAGACAACTATATTACTCAAGAAATATTTATTAACGAAATATTTCAGAAATTAATTTGAAACTTTATCAAATTAGGCTTCATCAAAGCAGCAACACACTCATTTAAACCAGACAGGTCACAAAATTAAAAATGAGGCAAAGACTCAGCAGAAATTCAGCACAGAGAACTGTCAATGCAAGGAAGCTGCACTGTCCATGGTCCTGAACTACAAATTATAAATGTAACATTTCAGCAATCAGCATTGAAACATGTGCTATTGTAAATATTTTGCCGACTTACAAATTAGTGAGATACATGTGCCTGTCGGGGCGCGCAGATATTTTTAATCCTTGGTGGCACTGAGGAGAGGGCCACTCGCAAGTCCTGTTCAACAGAGAGCCGTGACCTCCTGTTGTTCTTCATGTAAACCAGAGTAGAGAACGCCAACTCACACAGGTAGGTAGTGGGAAAAAGAAGAAGTTGCTCAATCGCGTGGTGGGAGATGCTTGGGTACTCCGATGCAGAAGCCAACCAAAACTGATCCAGTGGGAGGTCACTAAATTTGAGTTTCAGTGTGCGGTCCACACGGAGCTCTGCGCACTCCTCTCTCTCTTTCATAGTGAGCTTTTCTGTTGGGAATTCCTGGTGGAATGGGTCTCGGATCCAGTCATAGTCCTCGATGTCAGCCACACGTGGAAAATAGCGGTCAAACCTCTCTTTTAAGGTCTGAAGGTGTTTGGCATATACAGCGCGCTCCCTAGCTGCCTGCGGCGCAGCTGATGCCAGCGGGAACATGTCCATGGAGCCCTGTTCCAAAGCCTCGCGCCACAGGATAAGTTTGCCCATAAACCCCCGAATCTTGTCTGTGGATGATAAAATGTTTTCATTCCTGCCCTGAAGCTTGGCGTTTAACTCGTTGAGATGCCCAAATATGTCTGCGAGGTAAGCCAGCCTGGCGCACCACCTCTCATCCGCAAGCTTGTCTTTATGTGGGACAGCGTGTTCACGTGAAAACTCCAAAAGCTCTTCCCGAAGCTCATAAAGACGGGATAGGACTTTCCCCCGTGACAGCCAACGTACCTCTGTGTGGAGGATCAGGCTTTGGTGGTCGGCTCCCATCTCGGCGCACAGCTGGGAGAAGAGGCGAGATTTCAGGGGCCTTGATTTGATGTAATTCACCATCTTCTCCCGTAGTATGGCCTTCCATTTCTTTGCAGAAGAAAAACGTCTCTTTGATAGAGTCAGCATCAACATATCTGACGTTTGCCAGAAGTTGGGCAGCCCCACTTATGTCAGTAGATTCGTCTATTTGTAGGGAAAATCTGCCGCTCGCCTGCAGTGCCATAAGACAGGTAACTTTCATGATACTGTCTGCTGACAGTTTTTTTTCCTCTTTTCTTTCGGTGGTGGGTTGTCGGCAGTCTCTGCACTGGTGGTTGGTGGTTTGCTCCGCACAAGAAAGCGCTCCATTTTCCCTCTTGCGTGTTTCTCTGTTTTAATGTTGTCCTTCAGCCTTCGATGTGTCACGGTCTTATAATTCCCACCTGCAACTGCGTTAACAGCGAAATATGGGGTTCTGTGAGGATTTTTTTTTAAAGAATTGTTTTTAGGTATAGAGTTTGCCTCTGTATTATGAAATGAGTGCATACAAAGTACTGATATAGTAAATAAAAAAAGTATTCTTTTTGTGTAGTTGTATATTGCAATAATAACGTATGGTTGTCACAAAATCCCACGGCACACCCGGACTTGCCTCACGGCACACCAGTGTGCTGCGGCACACCGTTTGGGAACCACTGTTCTATGGAATAGGAAGTCCAGGGTTGGAGCTCCGTTCGAAGCTTCAGTGTCAAACTGCCATCACTACCTGATAGTACATAGTGCCTTTTTTTGAGTAAAGACTTTCTTTTGTACTTTGTTTGTCGAGTCGTGCTTTTGGGTTCATACTGGTTTGCCTAGTTATGACAGATACGTGAACACTCAGTCACTCTGGAGTAAGGCCTTCAGTGATGTCCTATCTACCAAAGAGATTAGCAGTCGTCATTAACAGGATATTCATACAGAAATCATATACCTTTACATATAACACTGAAATTAACAAATATGTATAGTATGACAAAATATGTTCTGGCTGAAATACAGCCACATTCAGATGAAAGGCACATCAGTCTTTATCTCTGTAAACGCCGTCAAACTCTGCTGTAACTCTTCAACTTTGTCTTTCTTTCATTTTTCATCTTGTCTTCTTTTTCCTTTGCCAAAGTCCTCCTGTCTTTCCTGATGTCTCTGTCCATACCTTGGCATGTCACCCCCCACCCAGCTGCTGCTCTAAGCAGAATGTCAGAATTACAGACCTCCCATATGAACCTCTGCGGTCCTACAGATGTATATAAATATATTCACTAACTTCTAATTGTGACTCTGCTCTACTCTTCCATGTTCTTCTCTTTTCATCCTCCCTTCCCTCTCCTCACTTTTCATCCTCCCTTCTCCTCACCCCGCCTTCTATAAGTGCTACTGAGTTATATTCTGAACATACTTACATCGTTTACACAATAAATCAAGTTTTCATGACATCTGTCTTCCATTAACCATCCTTTGGGTCTGTTTGCTTTGCAGGAGTGCAGGAAGATGAAGATGTGAAGCGGATGATGCAGGGCTCCAGCATGATAAAGGTAAAGGTTGTTATAAATGACTAGTTTATTTTGTTGTTAGTTATCAGTCATTGAGATTTAATGGATTTATTTATTAAATGTCAAGGTCCGCTCGCCTCGCTGGCAGAAGCGTCGCACTCTGAAGCTGCTGGAGGACGGGGTCACTATCTGGTGTCAGTCCCGTAAGACCACCAGCTGGGCCAAGGAGCAGCAGTCCTGTGAGTGTATGACTCACTATCAACTGCATAGGAATTCCCCATCTCAGTCATGGCAAAAATATAGAACCACAAATTAGGAAGGCCTTTACAAGGATATTTTGAAATAGAAGAATTGGACATCCTCATGACAACCACTGATTAATAGGTATAGAAAACATTTTTACAGAGCATGTATATCTAGGAGGTTTCATATTAGGATTAGGGTTTGGTTTTTGTGTGTGTGTGTGTGTAATACAAATATAATTTCATTTGTATTGGTTATATGTCAAACAATCCAGCAGATCAAATAAATGTTAATATTAATATGAAATGTTGCTTCCCATAATAATGGTAGTAAAAATGACCTCTTGTTTGAGGAAAATGTTAGTGCTTGTTTTAGTTTTTATTCGGATATCCAGAGCATCAGTTTCAGTCAACTGTGAAATTGAAATGTACAATACATTTTGTAATACTTCATAAAAATGAATGATCAAACTGCAACTTTGAAATTTGCTGCTCATTGTTTTCTCAGTGGGATGTGAATGAAGTGCCTTTGGATATTTAACATGATGGAATATTTACTTGAAAGCACCTCTTTTCCGGGATAAATGGAGATTATTATAGTCATAATTACAACCTGGATGTTTGATGAGCTTTATATACAAGTCAAAGACTGGCAGCATCAATATACAAATGATTAAAAATGACATATGAAGAAAAAATTATATTCTTAAAGCTACTAGAAAAAACCCATTCAGTTTCTAAAACAGGATTATTCACCAGCTGCACACGTCCCACCACAGCAGCCTGATGTAGTTTGTTGTATTGGTATACTTTATTTAAGGAAATTTACTTTTTTCACCGCTGGTTCAGCAAATAATGGGATGTTTGTGGAGATGTTTTGTGCCTGATGGACATCTGGAACTGACTTTTTGGGAGGCAGTTTCCACTCTTTAGTGTGGAAGAGATAATATGTACGTACACTCTATGAGCCTCTTTCCAAAGACAGCATTTGGTTTATTTCGAGCAGGACTCCCTTCTCTCTGCTGTGTGTGTACACTCAGAGCTGTGAATGTAATCTCAGTCTGTTGTATGTGTAGTTTCTATTATTTCTGTTGAAACCACTGGCAGATATAGAGGTGGGTAAACACCAGATGCTGCTTGGTCAGTAGTGATAATCTGTTTCTGTATTAGACAGTGTGAGGTCGGTTCAAAAGGAGACGCAATCAAATGGAAATGAGCATCAGGTTGTGCTGGATGAACAAACAGGTTGAAAATAACACACGTCGTGTTTGTGAGCGGAACACTTGTGGAACCTCATATGTGACAGACAGCTGCTCTCTCCAAGAAAGTTGTTTGTGTTTATATTTAAAATTAGAGTCCACTGTGCAGCACTGAGTGTTATTTGTTCCAAACCAGAGTTGGAACCATTTCAATACACATTGAATTTCCTGCAGAAATACAGTCAAAGCTGCTAATTCAGCATTCTTGTACCCTGTAACCATGACTTCCTGTTGACTCGCAGCACAGGAAGAGTGTGTGTGGATACTCCTGTAAACAAAATCGGCCATCCAACTTTAACACAGAAAAATACACAATGTTGTAGAAAGACAAATATTAGCAGTTCATACAGTAGACACCTTAAAAACAGAGTCTGGATTCTGAAGAAACATTTTTTATATTTGAACTCAACACACAGCTCCACTGCCTTTCTCAATATATTCATGGGTTTTCCCCTGCTGGAAAAGGGTTGTGTATTAACTTTGTTTGTTCCCCATTAACAGAGTCAGGGGTGTGTATGAACACCAGATTTATTTTCAGCGCACACAGAAGGAACAGCTAGAGGACTGTGAGGCGATCGCTGAGTCAAAAAGTGTAATTTATCAGAAATGCTGACTCCACCTTCAGTAGGCAAGATAAGTCAAAGAAAAGCAAATACATGATTACAGGCAATATATCATTATCTGTTCCTAGTATGCTGCTCAGATCATGATTATAGGCTCCCTATTTCCAGCAGCCGGCCCTGCCGCAGCTCAAACGCTGAGATTATAGCACACTATCTGGTGGTGGAGCCGGGCCTGGTGCTGTGGTTTGGTGCTGTGTAATTACCATGAGACTCAATCACTGGTTCGCCTCCCAGAGCGGGACGGCCTTTAATTTGAACAAGGCTAGACCTGCTGACGGTGTGTGTGTGTGTGTGTGTGTGTGTGTGTGTGTGTGTGTGTGTGTGTGTGTGTGTGTGTGTGTGTGTGTGTGTGTGTGTGTGTGTGTGTGTGTACGCCGGATTCAATCTTTGTGTATTTTAGTGACTCAGACTGACCACCTTAAATACACACAACACAGGCCTGAGTGTATTCTAATAGCTTAGAAGAGAAAGTGTGTGAGCTGCCCGTGGTGCTAGAAAACATACTGCACAAAATAAATGTATCATCATGCTTATACTGTATTTTTCTGTTACTACTATAGTACAGTTTATTTATAAAGCGGGTAACAGCGAGTATAATTTGTGTTTAATATGTGAGTTTGAGTCTGGAAGTGGATGTTGAAAATCAATCAAATCTACATGTCAAGTTGGATGTATTCTTGGCAATTTTACATACAAAAGAGTTTAAATAGAGTCGGAGCATAGAGAATACGTGGGTATGATTTGTGGTTATGGTTAGGGTGGGGTTTGTTTCAGAGAACACATTAAGGTGGAGGCTCTCTCAGCCTCTCAGAGCCTGCCTGGTGTTTCTGTGTCTTCAGAAGCTATAGTTATGATTGTGTAATACATTTATGAAAGCATGGAGATACACTGCACTGTCACTAAAGATCATTTGCTCTCATTGTTGCTGCTTCAGGGATGTAAGGGTCCAGTAATGCTTATAACTACAGTCAGGGATGTAAACTCATCAGGTATGAAAAAAGTGACAAGGATCCGAGCCCCCGACCCCACGGAATATCGGCTTTCAAATGAGGAATAACAGAGGATTTTAGCAGTCAGAACAACTAAAGCAGCAAAGAGTCACATCTAATAGAAATATATAAAAGCATTTATTTTAATTGTGTAGCAGTCAGTTTATAATTTTGGCAGCACTGTTGAGCATTTTGAAAATGTATTTTCATGCCTCTGTGCAAGGCTTAGTCTTTCTATCTTTATAGCCAGTGGTGTAAAGTAACTAAGTTCATAAACTCAAGTACTATACTTGGGTACAACTTTGAGATACTTGTACTTTATTTAAGTATTTCAATGTTTTGCTACTTTGTTCTTCTACTCCTCTACAGTTCAGAGGTAAATGGTGTACTTTTACTCCACTACATGTATTTAATACCTTTAGTTAATTTACAGATTTGGATGAATGATGTGAAATATAATCAAGTGTTAAATCAGACTTTAGTTCCACCTGGAGTAAATTCACAAGCTACCCTGCAGTATACAAAGTCATTCAAACTAGCTGCACCTTTACCAGCTTTGAGAACACTTTCATGATCAATCATTATAAAACATATCATATATATTATTCTGAAATGGACCAATCTGCACAATGACTACTTTTACTTTTGGTACTTTAACTATATTTTGATGATAATACTTTTATACTTTTACTTGAGGAACATTTTGAATGCAGGACTTTTACTGTAACAGAGTATTCCTACACTCTGGTACTTCTACTTTTACTCAAGTACAAGATCTGAGTACTTCTACTTTTAATCAAGTACAAGATCTGAATACTTCTACTTTTAATCAAGTACAAGATCTGAGTACTTCTACTTTTACTCTAGTACAAGATCTGAGTACTTCTACTTTTAATCAAGTACAAGATCTGAATACTTCTACTTTTAATCAAGTCTATACTATAATCTATATTTATACCACCTCCGTTTATAGCCTATGAAAAAAACTATTAGAAAACGAAGGCTAAAGCTAACGTTAGCAGATATGTTATGCTAGTTAGCTAGCTCAACGATAATATTGCGACAGGAACACTTTTCAGTGCACATCACGCTCTGCCGCTTCGACAGGGAGCTCTGCTCTGAACACCTGAACGGCCCGTTCTAACAGCTGTTCACCAGCGGTCCAGTCTGTGCCACAGTGACTCCGGATCGCACAGTTAATATTAACGAACGCACCCGTAGGTAATGTAGCTGCTGAAGCTAGACCATCATCGCGGAGCAGCAGAGCCTTATTATACATCCATGAGCAGAGCCGACAGGCAGGAAGACTCAAGCACACAGCTCGCGCTTCATTATAATATATATAAAAAGAACACCATGCGTGTCATGATGGCACATAACAGCTCGCGGCCGCAGATTACTCCGGGTCCCAGACCCCCCCCATACCCCAAAAATATTTTTATTGCAGATCTACATGAATCACACATACGACCTATTTTGGATTCAAAACGGCGAATTTCGCCGACAGGTGACAAGTTTGCATTTATTAGAAGGCAGACATGTGTATGCTCTTCCAAACACTCAAAGTTTAAGAGCCAGTTGTTTCTCTGACAACTGGGGGGGTTAACCTTTAAATGTGGGATTGATGCATTTTCAGACAGACTCTCCTTGTAAACATGTATAGGGTTGCACAACCTCTCCTGCACACAGCTGCCCCCCCCCCCACAAACAAGTTTTTTCCCCAAACCTGACAATGTGAGGTGAAATCTGACATTCTTATCCACAACTTCTCTCTCTAGCTCTTTTTTTAATTCCTTACACAACTATTAATATCTTTGTACATATGTTCAGACAATTACATGACTATATAAATATAAGAATTGTATTTCTAATGCTAACGTTCAGTGCCCATACCGGCGCTAGTGTGCTCTGTACATGGCGATGTTGAAAGTTAAACAGTCAGTGTGTTTGGGGACGTGTTCACTTTTCTTTTACAGACCTTTAACAGACCTAACATTTTTGTTGTAAACATTGTTTTACTTAGTTTTTAAGTTGCTTCACCTTAACCAACGTTTATTTTCCATGGTGAATTTGCTCTAACAATGGCCTTGTCCCAAACGTAACCTCTGCAGTTGCTGTACTCTTCTGGCCCTCCACGTCTGCTGCACAGACATTTGACTCTCTAACCACAAAGGACAGACTTCTTCTAACTGGAGTTTCTCATTTGCAAAATCTGTTCCTGGAAGAATGGCTTCTGAAAAGTCTTATTATAAAGTTACTTTTCCTGCCCCGAGATACTGTATTTGCATGGTGAAAACATAGGTTCAGGATAGATACTAAACAATACTTAAAGGGCCCATGTCATGGCCATTTCCACTGATCATAATTCCATTGTTGAGGTATACTAAAATAGATTTATACTGTGCAATTTTCCAAACTCACATTGGTTTCGCATACAGCATCTCTGTAAAGTATGTGTATTCAGCAGTATTCACTCTCTCCACTAAACGGCTCGTTGGAGCTCTTGCCCCCCCCCTCCCTGTGAGCTTAGTGTGCTCCGATTGGTCAGCTCGGCCACTCTGTTCTGATTAGTCAACCACCAGAGAGGCTCCGCCCATGTCTAACAGTGCTTTTTTCGGCTCGCTCTCAGCGGAACAACAGTCTTATAATGGCCTCGGTACAGCCGTATATTTTATAGGCTAACTAACCGAACTGTACCTACAACTGTTGTTATAGAAGAGTAAGTTATTTTTACCTGTAATAAACTACTACTGTTTGATGAGAAATCAAATCATGGTTTTCTATATATGAATGATATGTTATAGGAGCAAATAATTCAGGGAAGAAAGGATAGGCCTACTAAGTATTTCCATAAACTTTATTTTTAGAAATGTACAAAATGAACATGCGTAAATATACATATATACACTGTATATCATCCATTCCTCCCCTTATAGGCGTTTTCGGCATCTTGCCTATCGCAGCTTTGTAAGCGGCTGCCGGGGCTTTTTAGGACGAGGCATCAGAGTGGGTCATCCCGTGTGTGTGTTGTCCGCCAGATACGCCAGGAGTTTCCTGATCTGGCTGGACGAAATCTAATATAAAATAAAATATTAGAGAAACTTAGTTGTTTTAGATTCGTTAGTAGTAGTTGTGGTAGGAGTGTGTATCTATCTAATCTATCTATCTAATCAACACAGTTAGCTTGCCAGCTAATATGCTAACCTACGTTTGCTAGTTGTTCAGTGTAATATGCCAATCTACTATGAACAACAGCTAGTCTAGGCCAGCGCCATATAGATAGATCTCTCTATATGGCGCTGGTCGAGGCTAGCAAGAACATGTTTACAATTGCAATCTTATACGGGTAGTCTGCTACGTTCGGTCATTCATTGTAGCTGGCATGAAAACAATGTTTTCCCTAGCATGTCTAGCTCTAGGTAGCCTAGTGGTTTAGCTATGTAGCATACACGCTATGAACGGTAGCTTGGTAGCATACACGCCAGGAACGGCAACTATAATGTACTGACCGTACGGTAAATCACCCGGAGTATACTGTCTATGAGTATTTCGTGTGTGAATGCAGACATTCTCCTGCTATGAGATACATGTATGTAAGGCCATCTGCTGATATTAGAGTTGATATATGGAAACGCTAGCAACTTAGTTAGCACAGTTAGCACTGTGTCAATGGCTTAGCAGTCCGACACACGTTTACACATTTAAACAGTTGTGGTAGATACCTTGTTTGGGAGACATTCCTAACGAAATGAAGTGCCAATCACAACATATTATTGAAACTTAGTCGTTTTATGTTCGTCAGCTTGCCAGCTGGATTACAATGCTAACCTACGTTTGCTAGTTGTTCAGTGTAATATGCTATAGGCTACTATACTATACTATGAACAACAGATAGTGGTTCATATTAGGCTATCAAGAACATGTTTACAATTGCAATCTTATACGGGTAGTCTGCAACATTCATTGTAGCTGGCATAACAACAATGTTTTCCAGAGCAAACGGTTTAGCTCCGTTGTTTAGCTCGGTAGCATACACGCTAGGAACGCCAGCTATAATGTAATTACGTTTCGCGACTGACCATACGGTAAATCACCCGGAGTATACTGTCTATGAGTATTTTGTGTGTGAATGCAGACATTCTCCCGCTATGAGATACATGTATGTAAGGCCATCTGCTGATATTAGAGTTGATATATGGAAACGCTAGCAGTCCGACACACGTTTACACATTTAAACAGTCGTGGTAGATACCTTGTTTGATAAATACACAAATAACAATGCAAACTTACAGGTTGTGTACCCGAATCTTCCCCTGCTCCAAACGGTCCAAACAAACTAGGAATAGCATCGTCCTTCAGTTTCAAATGCTGTGCATATCCGGCCTCAAACTGGGCAATGTTTTGGAAGCTTTCGTCTGTGAAATGCCGCGCACACAGTAACGTTCTTCGAACCTCTGAAGGAACAGTGTTAAACAGAAATTTCAACCACTGACTTCGTCGTGGTTCTTCCGTCGGTAGGAGAAACAGCTCAGATTTCCCCTCACATTTCAGGAAACAGGTCCTTGGCATTGGCATGACTGGATCGATTGTGAACTGAACCAGAGCTTCCAACAGTAAATGTTAGGCTGGCAGAGGGTGCGGCCAGCGCCGCTGGGTGTGGCCATAGCTCTTCCGGATTGGTCCATTTCGTTCCGGGTACGGCATGAAATCATGCCGTACCCGGAACTAAATGGAAGACTCAAATGGGCAGTGACGTATCTCCAACGAGGCGTTTTGGGGAGGTATTTTCTGTGTTAGAGTTTTACTCGCTACAGGGTGTAGTTTGAGGGTTTTGACTCTGCACACCGTTTACATGCATAAAAACCTTCATAACACACAAGAGGACAGGTAATAACCGGAAAAGCATGACATGGGCCCTTTAATAATAATAATAACTTTAATTTATATAGCGCCTTTCATTAACCCAAGGTCGCTTATCAAGAAACATATAAGGACAAGACATAAAGACATAAAACAGGGGGCAGAAATGGAAGTGTTACATTGCAGGGGGGGGGCGGGGGGGAAGTGAGTTATTGTTGGAAGGCTTTGTTGAACAGATGAGTTTTCAGGGTAGATTTGAAGATGTTCAGAGAAGGGGCGTTACGGATTTCAGCAGGGAGGGATTTCCAGAGGGTGGGGGCAGCGACACTGAAGGCACGGTCCCTGAAGGTGCGGAGGCGTGAATGGGGGTGGGTTTTGTGCTGATGTACAGTTGGGTGTCGTCGGCGTAGGAGTGGAAACAGAGACCATGGCTGCGGATGATATCACCAATCGGAAGGATGTATATTGTGAATAGAAGGGGTCCGAGCATACTTAAGAAACATCGAGCAATACACCACTGAAACAACCAAACACTTGAATATAACTTGGTATTAGGGTGGATAACTTGTTTGTATTTACTTATTTTTTCTTCTTCTTCCTCCATCTGTTCATCTCCTCTCACACACCCTCAGTCTCTGTGATGGAGGTGGAGTGTGTTCGTGAGGGTGTCCAGTCAGAGACACTGCGGCAGATGCTGGACTCAGGACAGGAGCAGCGGTGTTTGACGGTGGTCTTCAAGGGTCCCCGCAAAAGTCTGGATCTGCTCTGCCAGAGCGTGGAGGAGGCCCAGCACTGGGCCCGCGGCATGAGGACCCTGCAAGAGAGGGTGGAGAACATGACCCAGAAGGAGAAGCTCAACCAATATCCTTACTGTACTTCCAAATTATAGAATGGTCCACTGTATATGCAGTCAAAAGTGACAAGAATAATCATATAATCAAGTCTTATTCTTTGGAATAATTATTAAATAATTCAGGTTGGAGGCTCACTTCCCAAACCAGATTGCCAGTGTAACAAATATATATTCCTTTTGTCCTCTTCACTTTTTTGATTGAAGGAAATGTTTTGAGTGTCTATAGTTAGAATGAGTCTGTGCCTGATGGACAAACACTACATGTTGTGCTGCTGCTGCTTCCTTGACCTTGTTGGTTTGTCACCTGGATTCATGCTTACCTGAGTCGGGCCGACCACAACCACGATGATAAGATGAGCTATGAGGAAGTCCAGACACTGCTACAGATGATCAACATCGACCTGAGCGACCAGTATGCCCGCACTCTCTTCCAGGTACAAACTGCACACATACTTAAAGGTCCCATGACATGCTTTTCCGGTTATTACCCGTCCCCTTGTGTGTTATGTAGCTTTTTATGCATGTAAACGGTCTGCAAAGTAACAAACCCTTAAAGTACACCCTGTAGCGAGTAAAACTCTAACACAGAAAAGACCTGTCTATGTCTATGCTGCCCCAGAACGCCTCGTTGGAGATTTTTCTTTTTCCATTTTTTTCTTCCTGAGCATAGTGACGTAACGATACCCAGGTCCAAATGGACCAATCCGCGGAGCTCCTCACACACACACACACACTCAGCCTTATCTTTTCTCATCCGTGGTACTCCGCGGAGCTTCGCCGGCACACACACTCACTCAGCCTTATCTTTTCTCAACCGCGGCTCCGCAGATCTCCGCACACACACGTTTGTTCAGGCTGAGTTCCGCGGTGTCTCGCTGTCTCGCAGACCCCACGCAGCAACCAGGAAACGACACCAGTAATACAGCTCACACTGCCCGCTCCTCAAGCCCCAAAGGGCGGAGCAGCAAGCCCCGCAACGTCCCGCCAACACGGCACCCAGGCCCCACGCAGCATTCTCATCTGTTAGTCATTTTCTGGTTGCTAACAAACCCCATTGTAACACATAAACACTGATGTCCAGCTGTAACGGTGGTTGACTAATCAGAGCACAGTGGGCTCATAGGGAGGGGGGGGGCAGGAGCTCCAACAAGCCGTTTAGGACAGAGAGTGAATACACATACTATACAGAGATGCTGTATGAGAAACCAATGTGAGTTTGGAACATTGAACAATGTAAATCTATTCTAGTAGACCTCAACAATGGAATTATGATCAGTAGAAATGGCCATGTCATGGGACCTTTAAAAAGAATGAGCCTACATCCAGGGTTCAATCAGTAATTAAAGAGGCTCTATTCTGCTTATGTTCAGGTTCATATCAGTATTCAGTGTCTCTACTGGGACATGTCTCCATGCTTTAATGTTCAAAAAGCTCTTTATTGTTCTCATTCTGTCTGTGCTGCAGCTCCTCTTTTCACCCTCTGTCTGAAACCCGAGCCCAGTTTGCTCTGATTGGTTAGCTGGCCGGCTCTGTTGTGATTGGGCAACCGCTTAGTGCTTTCCTCCCCATCTGCCTATCACGTGCAATGTGCCAATAGAAGCGTAATTGTTACAGTACATACATGTCACTATGTTGCGGAAGTAAACAAAGGAGTCCAATGGAGGCGTTTCATGCAAGGGGGGGGGGACACAGGGATTTTAGCCTTTGCAGAACATTTACATGCACACAGACCTACAGTATAGCACACACTACAGGAGAGGGAAAACCACACAAAGTGCTATAGGGCCCCATTAAGGGACTTTTACATTTATTTGACTTTACTGATGACAGACCTACATTACAGCGTGCAGCTTAGATGGATTTGGCTTGAGAACACAGAGTGATCGCTGTGTTTCCTCTGTTTCTCTGATAGAAGTGTGACCAGTCAGCGGACGGCCGTCTGGACCACGAGGAGATCGAGGTGTTCTGCAGGGAGTTGTTGCGGAGGCCAGAGCTGGATGCTGTGTTTATCCGATACTCTGCAAACGGCTGCGTACTCTCCACTGTGGACCTGAGGGATTTCCTGAAGGACCAGGGAGAAGACGCTTCAGTCACCCACGCCCAGAGCCTCATCCTCACCTATGAACTTAATGCGTGGGGTACGGTGCTAAGTAATAATACCCATACCACGCTAACTGCCAAGCACTAGAAGTTAGCTACGACATGTAAAACACAAAGCGTCCAGCACCTGTTCAGTGTTTCTCAGGAGTTGGTAAAGACTAAAACAAGAGTTAATATTGGACTTAACATGGCTATAAGTCAGGTCTCCAAAAAACTTTTATAAATAAGACGAGGCTTTCGGAGAGCGCAAACCTCCACCTAACGCTCATATCGTCGCGTGATCACAAAAGTATACTGACATTTGAAGACAGACACAGGAAAACATTCAGCTGCAAAAGTCTAATGAAGAAACTGCTGCACAGAATTATTTGCTTATTTAATGAGCCTTTATAGTTTTTACCATGTTTCAACTGAGATTCACAATCCATGGTACTATAACTGCTTGTTCTATACTCACTCTCTAGTTCAAGTAAATTATATTTATTTATGAAGGTTCAGAGGCCACTATACTCGATACCCAGTTTGTTCACTATATAATAATTGCCCTTTTTATTAAGTGTTTGTGCCTTTTTCCCAGTACAGCCCAGAAGAACCAGTTCATGACTCCTAATGGTTTCACCATGTACATGCTATCCAAGGAGAACTGTGTGTTTGACCCTGAACATGCCAGAGTTTACCAAGACATGAGTCGGCCTCTGGCTCACTACTTCATCTCCTCCTCCCACAACACCTACCTCACCAAGGACCAGCTGACCGGGGACAGCAGCACAGAGCCATACATCCGGTAAGAACACACTCTCACTCACACACACACACACACGCACGCACACACACACGCACACGCACACACGCACACACACACACACACACACACACACACACACACACACACACACACACACACACACACACACACATACACATACACATACACATACACATACACACACACACACTCTATAGTCCAGGTAAAGCTGATTAATCAGCACTAAGGCTAGGTAATATTGCCAAAATCTACTATCCTGATACAGGTCATTTCATATCTGGATAACAATGTGTATCACAATACCGCATGGTTTTAGGTTATTCAATAAATAAAAGGTCCATATGAAATCAACACATGCTAAAACGTCTTTGTCTCTACTCCTGTGTGAATGAAATACAAAATAAACATGTTTTTTCTTTTAATTAAGAATTTTAGAGCAAAATTAACAAAGCAATTTAGTGACATTATACAGAAGAACAAATCAAGCCATACAATGACCATTTTTACTTGTATGAACACAAGTTCAGAATACTAGTTGTTCTCAGAATAGATCCATGGCTGAAGGGGTTCAGGCCCTGATAGGGAGGACCTTTTGATGCTCTCTTTAGAACAGAGATATTCGAACTGGGAGAAACACATCCCCAGGGGGGCGCAGCAGAGTTCAGAGGGGGGCACAAAGGCAGCAACATGAGATAAATGCTGCACTAAATGTTTAAATATTAAACGGATGCCTATAGGGCCTTGGTGCGTTTTGAAAGGGTTGCATGCTGAGACAGTATGCTGATTATCTCTGGATGTTGGTGCAATCCAAACGAATTGAAATGAATATAAGGCACAGATTATTTAATAACTCTTAAATTACATATTTTCTCTTAGTGCCCTGAAACATGGCTGCCGCTGTGTGGAGCTGGACTGCTGGGATGGAGATAAAGGAGAGCCAGTCATCTACCATGGACACACTCTCACCTCCAAAGTGCCCTTTGTCGAGGTCATTCAGACCATCAATGACTATGCTTTCAAAGTGAGTACTTTATTGGAATGAATTTACTATCAAGGTACAAAATATACAGGCCTCAAGTTATTAGACTTGTTCAAACAGAGATATCAGGTACAGATGAGCAGTGGTCGAATTTTGAGGTACTAGTACTTTACTTGAATATTTCCATTTTCTGTTACTTTGTACTTCTACTCCACTACAATTCAGAGGTAAATATTGTACTTTTACTCCACTACTTTTATTTAATACCTTTAGTTTCTTCGCAGGTATGGATTAATGATAAAGAAAAAAGTATATATAATCAACACTTAAAGTGGACCTATCATGCTATATTTGAATAATATAGTGTAGGACCATACCTATATAAGGCATATTTATACTTTTTTTTTCTTCAAAAATACCAAACAGATCATGCATTTTAGCCATGCCTCATTTTGCTCAATTTGACATTTTTTAGCTCTGTATTTGCAAGGGCAGATTCAGTGAGAACAGCACCATCTACTGGCCTGGCATATGTACTACAGCGTATCCAGCGCTTTCGAACGGCAATGGCCGTGGCTGTCTCCTCCTGATTGGTAGAGTTGGCCCAATAGCCGTAGCGCCACTGTCCTGACGTCAGGACAGTGTTCAAATCTGGATCAGTTTTTATCAGATCCGTTGCAGCCCCTTTTTTAGAGATTTGGGTATGGAGGAAAATAGAGAGGGTTGTGTTTTCTGACACTTTGTGAGTTCCCTGGAACACCGGGGACACATATTCATGTATAAAAGACGTACAAAAGTGCATTTTGCATGATAGGTCCCCTTTAAATAAGACTTTGGTTACAACTTGATTAACCTGTTAAGCCCGAGAGACCCCGGTACCGGGGCACTGCCGCAACATCTTGCAGGAAACAGTGTCTGAGGGCATGTTCATTTAATAAACTATGAATGTTTTATATCCATGTAACGGGAAGAAACTCATCTAACTGATCATTTTTTTTTTTTTCAAAATAAAACCCACAATGCTAACGCTGATCCTCTGAATTAGCAACGAGCGAAAAATGCTAACAGATTACTGCACCGAAATTCACTCACAAAACCTTATTATTTATCTTTTCTGCACATCCATGACATCGTTTCACATCGTGAGGTGACAGAGAATCGAAGGGTACCCTCATTATCACTCAATTATACGAAATTGCGACGTTATAAACAAACATCAAAACATGTGGCGCTAGGTAGCTAAAAATGCTAACATGGTTACCTTGTCTCTGTAGTCTGCTCAAAAGTGGTCTTCAATGGCATTAAAACGATAAAAACGCTGCTGAAGTTAATCCATAGGTTAATCCAATGTGTCTGTGTCACTTTGAAATGATTTCTGATAATCCATGACCAATAAGACTGCTTTTCCGTTTCTAGATGTCAGAGCGAGAGATAGCTTTACTCTCATGCAAAACTATATGCGCAAAGCCCCCACCTTTTTGTTTTACAACGTGTGTGTGTGGGGGAATCCCCCTTCGATTCTATTGGCTCTAACGGTCAGAAAGAGGTGTCAACCATCAAAATCGACAAAGGGGGGCCAGAGATATGGAGAAAAAAAACATTTCCACCCAAATCACCTCAGAGGTGGAGTTTTTTTGGCTAAACCTCTCTAAAAAGGTCAAATGTCACTTGTTTTGCATCAATCTTGATACAGGGTACTTATTATATGTTGTACTTTGGATTCCTAAAGCTTTTAGTCTACCTTACCATCATCCAAGGGTAGTTTTCACTATAAGTAAAAAAGAATTTTTGGACGGACACTATCATTTACAGTTTTTTACTATGTAAAATCTGAATTTTCTTTAAAATAAAAAATATCTATATTGTTCTGACTATTCTACATCCAACTCACAGGTTTATCATTACTTTGAGAAAAAAGATTATTAATTTAACCCTTTTAGAAGGGAAGATATGGTCATTTGTTCTGGGAATGTCATTTTCGAGCCTGAGACCTGAAAAACAGGCTCAGGGCTTAACAGGTTAAGTTCACAAGCTACCAGCAGTAAATAAAGTAATCACAGCTGTGATAATCATATATATATATATACACATCAATAATTATAGTCAAAACATAAACTATATATATTATTCTGAAATAGACCAATCTGCACAATGACTACTTTTACTTTTGGTATTGTACTTGTACTTGAGTAACATTTTGAATACAGGACTTTTACTTAAACAGAGTAAAAGTCCTGTGCATTCCTCCACTATGGTACTTTTAGTACTTCTTCCTCCTCTGCAGATGAATATAAAAAGGTTCCAAAATTAGTTTAATTATGTTCATATAGTTCTAAAAACAAAACAGTATAGGGGTTAGGTGTATATTAACAATTTTGCTGACTGTCCTTTAGATATTTTTCCTCCCCTGTCCTCCTAAATGGAAAACGTTCCCCCCTGATGTGTCCCACCCTCCCTCTCTCTCTCAGGCGTCCCCCTACCCTCTGATCCTCTCCCTGGAGAACCACTGCTCCGTGGAGCAGCAGGCGGTGATGGCCCGACACCTGAGAACCATCCTGGGGGACAAACTGCTCACCAAGCCCCCCGATGGTTTGGACCCTCACAAGATGCCTTCTCCAGAGGCAAGGACACGATAATCTTTATTAGCAACACTACATTATAATAAAATGAAAAGTGTCCTTGTAAGAGACAAAGAATATAAATACATGCACTGGACACTGGAAGGTTTTTAGCTTCTAAAAATAGTCAGATTAAAACACCATGAAATTATTCAATGATTTCTCCGTAAAGATATTTAGCGTGTTGCTGATGTTGTGTTCAGTTTGTGAGTCTCTGTGTGTGTCATCATAGCACAGTGTGGACATGTAGACACCAACTCTAGCAGGAATTATGCTGGTGTTTATATTTCTGTCTGTCTGTCCACAGATGTTTTACAATGAGATAGCATCGCAACCAGTGTTGGAAGAAGTACTCAGATCCTTCACTAAAGTAAAAGTACAAATACTATGGTTTTAAATTCTCCATTACAAGTAAAAGTACAGAAGTATTATCAACTAAAGTACTTGTTACGCAGAATAGATTTATTCACAGTATTATATTATTATGGTTATTATATTATCCTGTTTTTATACATATAATAGCATTTTAGTATTGTCGTTGGTCAATGTGGACGAAATATAGATACACTGTAGATTACTATTACAGTACTGCAATATACCTATCATCATGTATGTGTTATAATGTGTACAAAGTAACTAGTAATGGTGAATGTTAAAATAAATGTAGTGGGATGAAAAGTACAGTATTCATCTCTGAATTGTAGTGGAGTAGAATATAAAGTAGCATTACATAGAATTACTCATGTAAAGTACAAATATGTCGAAAAAGTACAATCCTTAGTTACTTTCCATCACTGATTGCAACCAATGATGATGCAGACCATAGTGAGTTTGTCAGTTGGAGCGTGGCTGTTACTTTTCAGTGGAATGTGATGTGGTTAAAAATAGCCAGTGAGCGGCTCTCAGACAGATTCCTGTGCTGGACCTCACTCTGACTCTCTTTAATAACCAAACTCTCTGACTCTGTCCTGGGAGCGACTGTTAGGATTAACAAACTGTTGGATCTGGAGGCATCTGCCTCTCTGCGTCCCATTTAAACTACATTTCAGAATCATAACGTGTAGATTAGTGCGCTCCTCATGCTCTGTGCTTCAGTAATCACACACCCTTGAGCCACTTCATGTGTGTGTCTGTCCCTACACTCCTGTGATATATCGTTTGCTCTGAGGATGTTACACTGTGTTTTCTTGTTATCTAACCACTGTCATACAGTTACCTTGCTATGTATATAACTAGCACTCATGATACAAGTGGCTGGGAAGCTAATGACAATCTAGCAAAGAGTGTGGGCTGCCAGGCGGATTATGTAAATGTGTAGTAGGTGAGGACACAGGGAAATCCATAATAATGCAGACAGGAAACTAGGAACCAAACCGAGCGAACAACGACAACGAATTGACAGAGAACACTAGGGAAGACAGGCCTAAATACACACACGACAAATCACCAAAACAGCAGGTGAACACAACCGGGCACAGGCGGGAAAATCACAGGAAGTAAAACATGACCAGACACAAGAAGAGAAGGCATTTCAAAATAAAACAGGAAACCCTAAGACACAAAATCAGGACAATTACAAGTTCAAAAAGTTGTCAATGTATATTGTTTGTAATGTGTTGGTTGTGTGTGTAGGATCTTAAGGGTAAAATCCTGGTGAAGGGGAAGAAGGAGCAGGTGGTGGGGGGGTGCTCGTCCAGCTCCTCAGACCTCAGCTGCTCAGACGAGGAGGCCAAACCCAGCAGCAAGAAGGAGGAGAAGAAGGTACGTCTCCAACAGACCAGCACCCAGCTGCAGTGCTCTCACCATGTTATACTGATGTGATGAGTGTGTGTGTGTGTGTGTGTGTGTGTGTGTGTGTGTGTGTGTGTGTGTGTGTGTGTGTGTGTGTGTGTGTGTGTGTGTGTGTGTGTGTGTGTGTGTGTGTGTGTGTGTGTGTGTGTGTGTGTGTGTGTGTGTGTGTGTGTGTGTGTGTGTGTGTGTCCTCTCAGCCAGCAGTGTGTAAGCTGAGTCCTGAGCTGTCCGACCTGGTGGTGTACACCCGCAGTGTTCCCTTCAGGAGCTTCGAGCAGGCCACCAGAGGCCCAGCCACCGACATGTCCTCCTTCTCTGAGAGTGAAGCGCTGCGGCACGCAAAGGACTCAGGTATCATGTGACTTCTCTTACTGAGTAGAAGGAAAGGGAAGTAGTTTTCTTGCTGCCCATTTAAAGGTCCCATGTCATGCTTTTCTGGTTATTACCCGTCCCCTTGTGTGTTATGAAGGTTTTTATGCATGTAAACGGTCTGCAGAGTCAAAAACCTACATTTACCTAAATGTGCCTTTCTTCAGTTTATAATTGGACTAATTGGTGTTCTCTTGTCCTCCAGGGATGTACTTTGTGCGTCACAACAGCCACCAGCTCAGCAGGATTTACCCATCAGGCCAGCGCCTCCAGTCCTCCAACTACAACCCTCAGGAGATGTGGAACGCAGGCTGTCAAATTGGTGAGAGCTGATTTAATGTCCCAAGAGAAACAGAGTCAACAAGTCACACAATCTTAGTTCCTACTTTCCTCTCAAATGATTAAAAGCTTTATCGTCCTATGCACAGTAGCTACAGTGTACTTCTTGATATTGAAATCTAAAGTCCTCGGCTCCTACAACAATGCCATACAAATATATAAACAGGGTTGGGAGGGTTAATTTAAAAATGTAATCCGTTAAAATAACTAGTGACGTGACAAAAAAAAGTATAAAAATATATGTTGATAAGATAAGACATAAGAGGTTTTTTACTTACGTGTATGTAACAATGTAACCTTAGAAAAGAAGAAAACCAAGATATTTCATATACAGTAAACAAATCTGTAACAGTAATAGTTTATAAATGCTGTTTAAGCTTTATACATTAATCCAAAGCATAGACATATTTTAGTTTAATAAATCAGGTGTCCACTACTGCATTAAAAAAATAAATGTATTTAAAAAGAGGAATTAAAGTATCCTGAATATAAACCATAAAGAAAATTCCTCCAACAATTTATCTAACTATAATATATCGATCTATATTTAAAAAATTGGATACAAACTTTTTTTTGTATGCTGATGATGTAATCCGTTACTCCCAAAACCTGTATATATAAATATAAGACATAAAACAATAAAGTAAAACAGTGAAAGAGACTGTTGCAGGTGACCTCAGTCTGATGGTGTGCCGCTAACACACTGGTGTGTTCTCCAGTTGCTTTGAATTTTCAGACCCCAGGTGAGCAGATGGACTTGAATCGGGGCCGCTTCCTGCAGAACAGTCAGTGTGGGTACATGTTGAAGCCCCCCTTCATGTGCCAGCCGGACACCAAATTCAACCCGGAGAACGTTGGGGGGGGTCCAGGCCACAGACCTGTGCTGCTCACTTTCCGGGTAAGGCTGGCCAAACTGTCATTCTGTTCTGGACAGATAATGATTCTGCCTAGCATAAAACCACAATTCTTTTTATAAAGTTTCCACAAGGCATAACAAAGGTTTTACGCTACAACTTAAAGAAGTGGATAAAAAATGACAATGTAAAGCAAAGTATAAGCATTTACAAATGAGACAATAGTTTGCACTGATACAAAACACAGATAGAAAACCAAGCAATGATACAACTACTGTAATCCCCCGGCATTCACTGCCAGTAAGCCTCATACACACAAATATTCACCGTTAATGTGATTAAATGCAATGTACTGTATAAACATGATTTTTAACATGAGCCATGGAGGGAATAAGAGTGTAGTTGCATTAGTGTTTGAACTGTTGCCAGATAAGCTTTTCTTGCTCTCAGAATAATGATTCTCTAATGAAATGATGGTCTGTTTTTATTGTTTTTCAGGTCATCTCGGCTCAGCAGCTGCCTAAACCAGACTGGGACAAACCCACCTCCATCGTGGACCCTCATGTGTGGGTGGAGGTTCATGGTGTTCCCATCGACATCAACAAGAAGAAAACGCCTCATGTGGACAACAATGGTAAATGCCTACTCTATTGACCAATTAAAGGCAATAGCAACCTTTTTGGTAGAATAGATCATACATGTAATGCATAGCCAATGCTTATGCTAATTATAGACCTTGAAAACTACAACATTGATAGTTGTTTTATGTAACAAAAACACTTTTATTTAATTGATAGTGTAAAATAACATCCAGTTTGGAATGGAAATTGATTATTTAAATGATCGATTTCCCTCTTTATCGTCACACACGGGTATGTATACAGCACTGCACACACTGTGATATTTACCCTCTGCATTTAGCTCATCCTAGTATCAGGAGCAGAGGGCAGCTTTTATACACAGCACCTTGTGTGTAGTATGGTACATTTTTTGAACATTTCTGGAGATGTCAATAAAGGGGAACTCTAACTTGGAAAAAACTGAAACGCTGACTTTAATTAAATGTACTATGTCAACACATTTCGTATAACTGTATCTTGACGTTTTTTCGTTGTGGATAGGTCTGTCAGTAAGTGTTCCGGCTTGTTTCAGGTTTTAACCCCCGCTGGGACTGCACCTTCAACTTCACCGTCCACGCTCCTGACCTGGCTCTGGTCCGCTTCCTGGTGGAGGACCATGACTACACCTCCAGCAACGACTTCCTGGGACAATACACCCTGCCTTTCTCCAGTCTGCGTACAGGTGTGTGTGGGGGAGGGGAGTTTGATGGTACCAGTGCAGTATGAGTAATCACCTGCTCTCCTGACCAGCGGTGGGATGTAACATATAAAGTAAAATATTTAATTACTTGTACTTTACTTGAGTGTTTTCTCATTTGGCCACTTTATACCTTTACTCTACTACATTTTGTTGGCAAATGTTTGACTTTTTACTCCACTACATTTATTTTACAGATGAAGTTATTAATTACACTGCACATTTAGACTATAAAAACAAAATAGAAATCAACTGATACGTTATTATATTTTATTATAGGTTAAGCTAGCCAGAAGTATAAAAAATAAGGGCAACATTCAGAATCTGAATCAGAATGGGTTTTTATTACCATGTATACGAGGAATTTGCTTTGGTATAAATCAGGCATCCTCAAAGTCCGGACTCCGGTCCGGATCCGGACCAAACCACAACTGTCTCTGGACTCTGAGCAAATTATACTTTTCATATGTATTATCTGTATTATCTGTGTTATCTGCGAGACATCGCCACAACGCAACGAGTCAACATTCTCCGCTATGTCCACTGCAAACAGCGCTCTGCATGTCAGACTGTTCCACTGTCTGTGTGTGACTGTCAACGCATTGGTCCAATCACATTCAGCATCCCGTCAGCGTTTTTTCCCCCCACCAACAGTCTGCGAATCAGAGGCACAGTAGGGCGGGTCTTCGCGGAATGCGTGTGGGAAAAATGCGTGTGTTTAAAAAAAAAAAAGTCAGAGCGAGAGTTAACAGCTCATCTAGTTACATCTGTACTGTAGTAGTAGCCTAGTTTCACCTACCGGGGTGGCATGGGGTGGCAACTGCCACCCTGAAAATAGGCCTTGCCACCCCAGCTGCCACCCCAGTTGGCAGCTTTGTTTTGAAAGAAAAGTTGTGGCTCATCTGACATTTATGAGAGAAAGTCTCTAATGTCGGAGTGCAAGTGAATGCAGCACAAGACGCACGTCTTGTAACCCCTCCCCCGGCCCTGGCGCGAGCGTGGAAATATGATTGGCGGCGATTTCATTTGAACGGGACGGCGCAAAACGAGAAGCATTCGGCCCCAAGTACTGAAGGAATGAGGTATTTGCGGTCTACAATGACAGAGAAGAGACTGTCAAGTTTGGCTGTATTCAGCATTGAATCAAAACGCACTAAAGCTTTGGATCTTACTAATTTTGTGAGTTGTTTTGCTGAACAAAATAGTAATCGCCGCATTCAGCTGTAACAGACATGTCAACGTGATGCTCTGCTCACGGATGAGCATACACAACTGTTAAGATGATGACCTTACGTGTGTAAATATATATTTTTCTTTGTGGGGGTCTGCCCCCAAAAAACTGTTTTATGTCCTGAGAAAGTCAAACAAGACGGTGTGTAAAACTACACTGCCCAGCCAAAAAAAAGTAACCACTTTGATTTAACTAGGCCAGTAGGTAAGGACATTCCACTGGATAATAACTGAAGTATAAAAGAATGCATGACTGAAGTGATGGAGACCATGTTTGAAGGCAAACAAATAGGAAAGAGAAAGAGGAAATAACAGGTCAAATCAAGCAAATCCCCCTCTCAGATTCCACAGCAACCAGAAGAACATAAATACTGGCTGGTGATTTGATGAATCAGCTTTGTGATGGAATAAAAAATGCACAGTGCATTTCCTTAGCTGTGGATGAGTCCACTGACACCACTGACAATGCTCAGTTGCTGGTGTTTGTGAGTTTTTATGATGAGGCAAAGGGGGAGTTTGTTGAAGATGTGTTGGGCCTGACGAACCTCAGTGGACACACAAGGGGGCAAGACATTTATAAAGCAATAATGGGAATGCTGAATGAAAGAGGGTGCAGCTGCCTTTATTCATAACTGTGCAGCTCTCACACTGCGACTCTGAGGGATCAAGCACAGACACAATAACAATGAAAACTGCTGCATACCGATTATTTTTGTTTTTGCAACCTCGTGTTAAGAATCTTGTTACAATTGTTTAAAAGTTTGAATGACCGTAATAAACGGACTTTTGTCTTATTGAAAAAAATGTTTTGGACCTTTAAGATTTGTATTTGAGTACCCCTGGTATAAATGGTGCATACAGAGACCGAAAGAAGAAGAAGAAAACAAATGAAAAATTAAGACAATATTTACACAAAGTATAATTATGTGGGAAACTTGAGTACATTGAAATATCATAAAATTGACAATACTATATACTACTGTATATTTAAAGTGGAGAGCTGTGCTGATCTACAAAGAGGTAGCGTGGAGCAATATTAAAAAGAACAAGAGAACCAGATATTGTTGAAGTTATGAACACATTAATGCATCAATAATTATAATAAAATCATTAAAACAAATATCTGATGTTTATATGTGCCTTTCTGCATGACGAGTACTTTTACTTTTGGTACTTAAAGACTTTTACTTGTAGCTTTTCCACTTTAGTATTGCTAAGTAAATAAGCACTCCTTCCCTCCCTGCTCCTGACCTCCTCTCCTTTCTCTCTGCAGGGTATCGTCACGTCAGGCTGCGCAAAGTGGACGGCTCCAGCCTCTCGCCCTCCTCCCTCTTCGTCCATCTGAAGGTGACCCCCTGTGAGAGCAGCCCCTCCAAAGCATCAGCCAAGAGACCCTAACCTGGTCTCTGCCATGGAGCGGCATGAAGCAGGAAGCCTGGACCCATCTACCAGGACCCAGACCAAAGAAACGTTGAGGTCCTGACTCTTTTAAACTCACGAAAAAAGAGAATTGTGTCTCTTCAAACCCCTTTTCAATGACAACCGTCTGGGAGGAGGAGTCTAATCTGCTGCCTCCTCACCAAAGTTTGGTACTAGATTTTGTCCCTACATACGACTCCGAGCTAACCTCAAACTTGTTAAGTCTCGTGCTTTCTGAAGGAACAACTTATTTTTAACTTCTTGTATCTTATTTAAGTATTTTTTAAATCAAAATAGTCTAGAAATGCCTGCTGTTAGTGACTCAAGAATGACTGAATTATGAAGTCATTTTCTACAAACAGTCCTCGGCTGTGACATGTAGCATGTGTTATATTCAATGCACCTGTGGAATCCAGGTTATAATCTGCTGTCTACAGGCACTACAGTAACCTGTTCACTGTAAATCTGTATACATTCATCAAGAAGACCGCATCCTAATACAGCTGATACTGGGTTCCAATGTGAAAACGTACCCTATACTGTATGGCAAAATATTTACTGAATCAGGGTCATTTGTTTGAAGATGTTACTGTAGATCTCCATGATGAATAACAGTTCCTGCCTGTCTGACACGTGCTGTACAAATGAAGTTTTAATCCCATCCCAGTACTTTTATAATGTTGTGTTAAAGGGAAAACATATTTTTACGGCATAACTTTTTTGTGAAATGTTTGATTCACAGTGACTGTATTTTAGCTCCACACAATCTACATCTGTTGTTATCAGTGAATGACCAAACTATATTATTAAGTAGAATATAGAGTTGTTATATTATAGAATCTGCTCGGTTATGCAATAGCGAAATTATGATGTGCACTAGATAGTGCGTTAGATGATATATATATGTAGATGCTTCATAGTTGCAAGAGTTGTCTTTGTTTACTCTGTGTTTAGATGAGCACTGTGCAGGGGGGGGGGGGGGGGGGGATCATGCCCACTGTGACATGAGACTTTATTAATGAAAGAGTTTGAACAGATGATAACACCATGTTAGACATCTGTCAACTCATCGACTATGGAGACAGAGTTGTATACAGTGCTGTTTTTATTAAGGAGGGGTGTTTTGTAGGATTTGGTTTTAGAACATTCATATTTTGTTTACACATGAAAACAAACAACTATGAACATTTCATATTAAGATAATCTCACAGATCATTTAATGAACTGATTGACTTTTTATCAGGACAGGGAGCTAGCCTAATTAAAACATTCTCCAAGCATGTGTGAAATGCATGCTCTACATGGGGGAAATAATCAAAATATCTTTGTCATCATGAGAAGAATACAAAAAAATAGTTTTGTCAGATGAATCATACCTACTGAGACATATTGACAGGACATTGTCTTGTGGAAATGGGCTCAAATGTGACGTTTTAGAGCCATTGCCAATTGCTAACACATTTTAGATAACATTTCTCCCTGTGTCCAACAATATTGCAATTACTCACTTGAATCAGGAGCTGACTTTTTCTAAATAAATGTATTGTTAAGACCATTTTTAACTGTAGCAATGAAAACAAAAACTGTAACTGTACAATTCAAAGTATTGACTTTGTTGTTATTTTATTTATTGGATTTTGAAGTATTATTGTTTGCTTTTGTCATGTACCAGCTGTAAATGAACCTGATGTTATTTATCGATACAGGTAATATATTCACAATGATAGAATAGAAATGTAATTCTGGAAATGTTTGAACAAAATGAAGAACCTCACAATGCCACACAGTGTTAGAGTGACTGAGGTCCAGCTCTCCACCAAACTGACTTTTTTTTACAGGGAAAAAATAAAAGAAGTATAAGTTATATTGCTCCTGCTTGTATTTTTCAGTCAAGTGTATAAATGTGTGTGGGATTGGGTAAATGTTGTGTAGAAGGGAAGGAAGTCAATTTACCCATGTTCCATTTATATTAGTATTTTACTCTCAGATCTTTGGGATGTTTTTGATATTTCTTTTGAAAAATTCACATGTACATAACAGCATTGCTTACAGGTATTACACAATAAACTCATAAGATCCGGACAATACAAATGTGAGAAATAAACTAATCAGAAAAAGACGAGACATTTAAATACAAAAATAAAGTAAACAAAAACTAAAATGAAATAAATATACCTACGTTTTTTATTTTCAATTGTACTAAACACTTTTGTTGCACAGTTATTTTGCATTAACTACAGGGCTTTCATAAATTAAATAAATTCATTATAAAAACGTAGTTTTCAGATTTAGAAAACGTAGATTTGTGTATATAACATTTACATAGAATAATAATCTAGTTTAAGAAACTATAATCTTTGCGTTGCAACAGCGGCCACCAGGGGGGGCCACACTCCATGTGATTCTACATGTTGATAAAATGACAGTAAATTAAAAATGTATTGTCATATATAATTTCTACTACACTACATCTCAGAGAAAAATATTTCATTTTTTACTGCACTACATTTGTCTGATAGCTAATTACTTTTTCAGATTATACTTTTTAATCTGTCCAGAGAAAATATTTTAGAGAAATTTGTCATTTTAATGGAGGTAAAAGTGCTTTTTCTCAGGTCTTCTTCAATGGTTTTTGTTTGTCCTTTGTGCATGCTTTGATACATTATTTGTTCATGTATTAAAGCATGGGAAAATGTAGATCACTTAGATGAAATACCAAACCGAAGAAGTAATTTAACTGTTTGGATATGGAATGACTGTAAATGCTACTCCATGTCTGAGTAACCATGATCATTTTCTGTTCTGTTCCACATGTGCTGCTGTCTCTACTGTCACTAACTCTGCATAGACTAAACCTCCATCCTATTCATTGTGCCACAGCATTCCACTATAGTTCTTCGAATCTTTATTCTTCCCCTTATTATTATTTCAGCCAATACTTTGGCTCTCCATAACTTCAGCTTACTTTCAGCTACAGAAACCATTCAAATATTAAACTATTCAGGAATCGATGGGAAACCTTCAACTTTTAAAAAATATTTTATACTTTTTGAAATATTCAGCTTTTTAAACTCTTTTTTTAACATGGAAGGAGCCTTCAAATCCTCTTTTCCTACACCTTGCGCCAAATGCTACTCCTTCCACATACTTTCAGGTAGACACTTAATTCCAACTTTAAAATGATCATAAAACTTGTTCTTCAGATTTTTGATATCTTTTACACTTTTTGAGATATTTAACTTAGTTTGGAGCTTGGTAGAGAGGCCTTTTTCAGATTTTAACATTAGTGTGAATGGAGCAGCTTGTTAAGTCTAGAGTGCTTTGATCTCAAAACAGAGTGCAGGAGTGCTTGAAATTCTCCCCCAAATTTTTTTTTAAACTTGCCATAATTCCCAAACCCTACACTCCTCAGACATTTATGTTCATGAAAAACGTAGGAAAACCTCTCATTGGTTGGAAAATTAAAAAAAATTCAGAAAAAATATTAAACAAAATGCCTCTTGAGGGCATGGAGAGACAAAAAGTCCGACCCCTGCTTTAGACAAACTGCTCCCATCTCCACATTTTACACACAAAACCAAAAAAACAAACATATATCAGTTCATTGGGGTTCCCTGATGCTCACGGTCTGGTAATTTTTTGATAGGAGCCATAGTTTTTGAACAGGTGGCAAAATTGTCAGATATAATCCTCAATGCATTCTTAATGGGACTCAGTGCTGCAGTTGGTAAATCGTCATAAGTCGTCACCATGGTAACCTCTGATCTCTGGGTTTACACACACAGGTGTTTGTAAACATTAATTCACTACTACTTACATTTAATATCTGTATTTAACTCCTTCAGCCTAATTTCAGCTGCAGGAACCATTCAAATATCAAACTATTCAGCCTTTTCAGCACATGATGGGAAACTTTCAACTTTTTCAAAATATGTTCTACTTTTTAAAACATTCAGCTTTTTAAAGTCTTTTTTTAACATGGACGTCATTGCAATGCATTTGAGCTGTAACAATTAACACACACACACACACACACACACACACACACACACACACACACACACACACACACACACACACACACACACACACACACACACACACACACACACACACACACACACTCTCTCTCTCACACACAGACAGACACACACACTCTCTCTCTCACACACAGACACACACACACTCTCTCTCTCTCTCTCACACACAGACACACACCGATGATGATGAATGATCAAGAGAAGAGAGAGAGGGCAATCAAGAGAAGAGAGAGAGGGTGATAGAAGAATGAGAGGGTGATCAAGAGGAGAGAGAGAGGGCGATCAAGAGAAGAGAGAGAAGGCGATCAAGAGAAGAGAGAGAGGGCGATCAAGAGGAGAGAGAGAGGGCGATCAAGAGAAGAGAGAGAGGGCGATCAAGAGAAGAGAGAGAGGGCGATCAAGAGAAGAGAGAGAAGGTGATCAAGAGAAGAGAGAGAGGGCGATCAAGAGGAGAGGGCGATCAAGAGAAGAGAGAGAGGGCGATCAAGAGAAGAGAGAGAAGGCGATCAAGAGAAGAGAGAGAGGGCGATCAAGAGGAGAGAGAGAGGGCGATCAAGAGAAGAGAGAGAGGGTGATAGAAGAGTGAGACGGTGATCAAGAGAAGAGAGAGAGGGCGATCAAGAGAAGAGAGAGAGGGCGATCAACAGAAGAGAGAGGGCGATCAAGAGAAGAGAGAGAGGGCAAGCAAAAGAAGAGAGAGAGGGCGATCAAGAGAAGAGAGAGAGGGCAAGCAAGAGAAGAGAGAGAGGGCGATCAACAGAAGAGAGAGGGCGATCAAGAGAAGAGAGAGAGGGCAAGCAAGAGAAGAGAGAGGGCGATCAAGAGAAGAGAGAGAGTAATGTAACCTCCTAATGCAGGGGTACTCAAATACAAATCTTAAAGGTCCAAAAAAAATGTTTCAATAAGACAAAAGTCCATTTATTACGGTCATTCAAACTTTTAAACAATTGCAACAAGATTCTAAACACGAGGTTGCAAAAACAAAAATAATCTGTATGCAGCAGTTTTCATTGTTATTGTGTCTGTGCTTGATCCCTCAGAGTCGCAGTGTAAGAGCTGCACGGTTATGAATAAAGGCAGCTGCACCCTCTTTCATTCAGCATTCCCATTATTGCTTTATAAATGTCTTGCCCCCTTGTGTGTCCACTGAGGTTCGTCAGGCCCAACACATCTTCAACAAACTCCCCCTTTGCCTCATCATAAAAACTCACAAACACCAGCAACTGAGCATTGTCAGTGGTGTCAGTGGACTCATCCACAGCTAAGGAAATGCACTGTGCATTTTTTATTCCATCACAAAGCTGATTCATCAAATCACCAGCCAGTATTTATGTTCTCTGGTTGCTGTGGAATGTCCTTACCTACTGGCCTAGTTATATCAAAGTGGTTACTTTTTTTTGGCTGGGCAGTATAGTTTTACACACCATCTTGTTTGATTTTCTCAGGACTTAAAACGTTTTTTTGGGGGCAGACCCCCACAAAGAAAAAAATATATTTACACACGTAAGGTCATCATCTTAACAGTGTTGTATGCTCATCCGTGAGCAGAGCATCACGTTGACATGTCTATTACAGCTGAATGCGGCGATTACCATTTTGTTCAGCAAAACAACTCACAAAATTAGTAAGATCCAAAGCTTTAGTGCGTTTTGATTCAATGCTGAGTACAGCCAAACTTGACAGTCTCTGTCATTGTAGACCGCAAATACCTCATTCCTTCAGTACTTGGGTCGATTCATATTTCCATGCTCGCGCCAGGGCCGGGGGAGGGGTTACAAGACGTGCATCTTGTGCTGCATTCACTTGCACTCGGACATTAGAGACTTTCTCTCATAAATGTCAGATGAGCCACAACTTTTCTTTCAAAACAAAGCTGCCAACTGGGGTGGCAGCTGGGGTGGCAAGGCCTATATT